GCCTGGGACCCCTCAGGGGATATCCACCTGCTGGTTTAGGCCTGCTACCTGGGGGATTGGGCCTAAGGTGGCAGTCAGACATCCCTCTGGCAGCCTGGGAGCCCTCAGGGGGTTAAGGTCAGTTTGCATATTCCCCTTTTACTATATAGGATAGAGGCCTGGTGCACGGGTGGGGGCTGGCTGGTTTGCCCTGAATGGTGTCCCGGATCAGGATGGTGGTCCTGCTGGGGTGCCTGGCCAGCCTGGGTGAGGGGCTGATGGCTGTTTTCAGGCTGGTCAAGCCCCACCCCCAAGTGGGGACCCTCACCCCATGGAGGTTTGGCCATTCTGGGTGAGGGGCTGATGGCTGTTTTTAGGCTGGCCAAGCCCCCCGGCAACAGAAGCTCCCAGCCTCTCCTTTTTTTCTTTTTCTTATTCTGGGATTTTTTTATCTTCTATAATTGAAACTTTGTAGCTTTGAGCAGAGCCCAGGTCCGGCCAGGGCAGGCGGGAAGCTTGGCTTTGTCCATCGCAGGGGGCAACCCAAGCCTCCTCCTCGCTCCAGTTCCATGGCCATGGCAGCTGGAAGTAGGTATCTGGTATTTATTTATCTTCTATAATTGATACTTTGTAGCCTTGAGTGGAGCTTAGGGCCAGCAAGGAAGGCAGGAAGCTTGGCTTCCTCCATTGCCTCCAAGCCTCTTGCTTGCTCCAGCTCTGTGGCTGCCGGCATCTTAGTTGGGTTAATTTGCATATTTGCTCCTGATTGGATGGTGGGCATGGCTTGTGGGCGTGACTTGTGGGTGTAGCAGAGGTACGGTTAATTTGCATGTTTCTCTTTTATTAGATTAGATATATCTCCTACATAATGAAAAGGTGATATGCAAATTAACCCTCATGCCCTTACAAGAAGGCTGCCTATGACCAGGCCAGCAGGGGAATTAGTGAGAAATGACCAAATGACTGGACAAGCAGGATGCATGGGGGGACCAGGCTGGCCAGGGGGCCGTGAGGGGCGACCAGGCTGGTAGGGGGGCATTTGGGCATGACCAGGATGGCACGAGGGGCAGTAAGAGGTGACCAGGCCAGTGAGGGGGCAGTTAAGGGCAACCAGGCTTGCAGGGGGGTGGGGGGCAGTAAGAGGTGACCAGGCCAGCTTGGAGGGGGCAGTTAGGGGTGACGATGCTGGTGGGAGGGTGCAGTTGGGGGCGACCAGGCCAGCAGGGGGGCAGTTGGGGGTGATTAGGACAGTTCGGGGCAATCAGGCCAGCGGGGGTGGGGAGGGCAGTTAGGGACAACCAGGCAGACAGGCAGGTGAGCAATTAGGAGCCAGTAGTCCAGGACTGTGAGAGAGATGTCCAACTGCCGGTTTTGGCCAGGATCAGGCCTAAACTAGCAGTCGGACATCCCCCAAGGTGGCCCGGATTGGAGAGGGTGCAGGCTGGGCTAAGGGAACAGCCGCCCCCCCAACCCCGTCCCCCCAATGCACAAATTTCGTGCACTGGGCCTCTATTGTGTGTGTGTGTGTGTGTCTGTGTGTGTGTGTGTATGTGTGTGTGTGTGTGGCTAATATGCAAAGTGACCCCTCAGGAGTTCAACCAGGAGACCAGGAGTTCAATTGCTCACTATGACATGCACTGACCACCAGGGGGCAGCACGGAATGAAGGCAGGCCCAGGCTGGCAGCCAGCAGCTGGGGAAAGAAGGCCCCAGCCAGCAGCTGGAAGGCCTTGATCAGCCCTGATTGCTGGCCAGGCCTAGCGACCCTACCCGTGCATGAATTTCGTGCACCAGGCCTCTAGTATATCAATATTTCTTATATTGTCTTTGTATATACTACACCAAAATATGAGGCAGTAAGCATTATTCTTTACATATCACTCTTTAAAAATCTATGTTGTTTAAATACCTATTTGTTTAGATAGTTTTCAATGTCAATGCTATCTACAAGCATTGCTGAATTTTTAAACAGTGACAGGTTTTTTATTTTTTTTTGGACTGAATGGAAAAATAAATGCTAAAAAAAGAAAAAAGAATTGCCATATAAAGGGAGAGCCATCTTCATTTTCAGTAATATGTCACAATAACTCCTGGACTCCCAGAAGAATGACAATATTAACTTCTAACTTATGCCAGTGAGTCCCCCCCTCCCTGAGTGATGTACACAACACTCAGGGGCAGTGCCAGACACAATTACTCCAGCCACGCTTATTTCATAAGCCAGTTTAGACTATCTCTGCCATTTGTGAGAACCAGAAAAATCATCATTACTTACAGAATTCAAAATCATTCTAATTTATTTATAGGCTAGGGGCCCAGTGCACAAATTTGTGCACCTTGAAAGGAACTGTGGGCCATGAGGCTGTGGTGGGCACAGGGGTGGGTCTTGGCCCATCCTCCACGCCCCTGCCTGGCCCCTCTTGCCATAGCCCCTGGTCCCCTGTCTGCTGGCAGCCCTGCTCCCACTGCCACTCCCATGTGCTGACGGCACCAGCCCCACTTGCACCCACTGACAGCACAGAGAGACTGGGACCAGCACCATCAGCGGGTGCAAGTGGCGGCTGCTGTCCCAATACCTTCTCAGGAACAGGGGGAGGTGGAGAATCCCTCCGGGATGATCACGGCCAGCAGCCGCTGCTCAAACCCACTGACAGTGCTGAGTGATTGGGACCAGCGTTGGGCGCCCGCAGCAGGTTCAAGCCGTGGCTCCGGCACCAGCTGTGGGTGCAAGCGGAGCCAGCGCCAGCAGTGGGTGTGAGCAGGGCTGGCGCTGGCAGCAGGTGCGAGTGCCAGGCAGGACCACAGCAGGACTGTGGCGTGCAGTAGCAAAGAATTTTCAGTAACCACCAGAGGCTCGCCTCGATGACAGCAACCAGCACCCCAACTTGGCTTGGCGCCCCTGCTCACCTGCTCCACCATCTCGCCACGGCCGACACCCACTATGTTCCAAGCTCTGCCACCTGCTGCCGATGCCAGCCATGTTCCACGCGCACCCCCTGGTGGTCAGTGCACGTCATAGCTACCTGTTGTTTGGTTGTTCTGCTGTTCAGTCTATTTGCATATTAGCCTTTTAGTAGATAGGCTATCGTTAGCTAAATTACATGCATACACACGTATATACAAAATAGAATTATCAGATATAGCATGTGATTTTTATGTATCCCTAACAATGTTCACCTGTCCAATTGCCCCTTCCATTTTCCACAGTCATAGCTATACATTGGTGAGAAAATGGCCCTTCAAAGGCCAGAGTGGGACTCTTGGTAGTTCCTCTTTATGGCCATTTAAACGTGTTCTCTCTATGACTCCCAGCTGACAGACCTGTCCAGGCTGGTTTTCACACTCCTGAGGACAGCTGCTAGCACTGGCCTTGGCTTGCTAGTTCCGAAACTCTGAGCTCTGCATCCAACTTGAATATTCCTTTGCTTAGTTTATGCTTTTTATAATGTGTGTGAGGTTAAACATTTCTCCACTCTCCTTGGTTTTTAACATATCTAATATATTGTCTTCTTAAGTTTTTGTTGGAATTTTTCTACCTACACTTGATCACTACTGAGCAAATGTCTCAATATATTTAATTCCTTCAATCAACCAAAATTCAGTTTCTATTATCATCTCTTTTGTGTGAGGAGACCTGTCAAACTGGGGACCTGTCTCCTTACCCATTAATTTATTTCTTTCCATAGAACCCAATACTGCTGGTCTTCCCCCACTATGCTACCCACCTGCACATGCATGTCCAGTTTCCTTTTACCATCACCCACATCTGCCCAACCCTCTGAGCTTGAGTCTCTTTGTAGCATAGTGAGGTCACTGCCATGAACATATAAGTTGAGGTATGTGTTGACCTGAGTAAACCATCCTCGGTGGTCAAACAGCCAAAGTGGCACTCAGGGAACACAGCTGTCTCACTGTCACCCAAGAGAAGTGATTATCTAAAATAAAATAAATCTGCTTACCTAAAAAAATAAATTACATTTTTGCTTATCTCAGATATATTCATTTCCATCATTTGCTTTATCTCTTTCTACCCAGATTTATAATTGTAACACACACCAACATTCACATTCACACAACTTGTGTTGATGATAGATGATAGACAGAGATGAATGATAATTACCAAATATTGACACCTTCACCACCATATACCCTCGTAATTATAATATTCAAATTCAATAAAGATATTTCACAGATTAGTCATAAAAGTGACTACATGACCAGTAAGAGTGCACTTACGGATTTCTCGTCCTACCTCAACCTCCACAAATAACATCATTCAGGTGGTTCTCTGTGTGGTTTTCCCCCCGTTACTGCTGCCTGACCAAACTAACCCACCAACCAAACTAATACACCAACCAAACTAACCCACCAAACAAACTAACCCACAACCAAACTAATCCACCAACCAAACTAATCCACCAACCAAACTAACCCACCAACCAAACTAATCCACCAAACAAACTAACCCACCAAACAAACTAACCCACCAAACAAACTAACCCACAACCAAACTAGCCCATGACCAAACTAACCCATTGAACACCATATAAGGAGATCACAGCTCTCACCAAGTCCAAGGGCATGATTCCCTCCCTCTTACTTCACTTCTAGAATGGCCACACACAAAAAATATCTTATTTGTCAAATTGAAAGTTTATGATGTAAAATCAAACACTCTTAAGATTTTAGCACTTTGGAATCTTAAAAATTAATCAACACATCCAATAGGAACTATACTATCCCAAATCAGACATAAGACCATTACAAGAGTATACCATATATTTCTTCTATTTTTAAGTATATTTTCTACGACAGCAAACACAGCTCACCTCCTTCCTTCCATGATTGCTGGTGGTAGATCAGGAAATGCATTGGAGTTAATGAGGTTGATGCATTTCAACCACAGATACTTCCAAAATGTGGTGTGTGTAAAAGTGTCATGCACATCAGATATTCAGCCCATTGCCTTATGATAAATATATGGTAGCCGCATAAGTACATTAGAAAGTGAGGGTAACCATCTGACATTTATAAATATTCAAACCTTTAATGAAAACAGCTTATGTGTGAAATCTAAATGACATGTAGTACACCAGAGAAGGGCTCTATTCCAAAATTCTACAGAAAGGAATTGTACTTACAGACGATATGAACTAATAAATACACCTAGCATTGTCTGGAGAACTTACTGGCATGCCATAATGTCATATCAAAGCCAGTATGCATAGAACCCATAATTATTTTTATAATCATCAAGCCAAAAGCAAGGAACTAAGTGAAGCAATATCAAAGTAAAACAAAAGGCAAACGAAACTACACAAAATTGTTTATGATATAATTAAAATGGCTTGAGAAACCAGTTAAAATCCTGAAGTTTTGTTGTACTTTTGTTTCTTTGGTGTGTTTTTTTACTACATGCAAGTCCTGTCCCCAAATACTACAGCGCCACCCATTATGCTATAGGTATCTCAGACCCTGGCCATTCCTCTGGAAACCGCTCCCACGGAGACAAGGTTAGTGGAAAACATAGGATGTGCGGTGAAGATGGGGTGGTGTCTGCATCATGTGCAGCTGAGGGAGGCGCAGCCCCTCCGCCCCACAGCGTCTCTGGGCGGTCACGCAGTCTGTGAGCCCTGCCTTGCCTCCGCAGCAGCGTGGGGGAAAACGCTGCCCCGGGACAGTCACTGCCATGCTCCCTCCATGCCTCAGGCCTTCACTAGCACACCCTCCCACGGAGAGGTCTCCAAAATGCGAGAACGGGCTTCTCAGATGGGTTTCATTCCATTCACAATCTGTACCAAACATCTTTGATATGCAAAATGTCTATGCTCGGCAATAATACAGGATCATCCCCTCCCACTCTTCAAAGACATTAAAGGAAATAGAAAATTTGTAAGTGTTAAAATAGTTGTTGTAAAGATGAAAAATCTGAGGAACAATAACTAAGGAATCAAATGATCAGAAGAACTACAACCTATACAATCTGGGAAAAGTTACAGTTTCATAGTCTTTAATAAAGAGAATCGATTATCATCCTCATATAGAAGTATTTTGTGCATATTAAAAGCACATTTCATCAATAAATTTTCATAAGCTGAACATATTAGCAATATAATTTTAAATGGGAATTTTTAAATATCAAAAAGAATTATGTAGTAAGCTAAGGTTCTTGGTTTTTGTGTATTTTCAACCCTATTAAATATACAATTAACCCACTTTAAGTTCTAAAAATCCAATCTGCATTATATGTATTTTGGTGTGCAGATTTGCTACTTTTAAATATAGCTCAAGGTTATGTAAGCATGCGCAGTTACATTCTAAAGTCATGTGACCAAATGACTGTTGATGAGAACATGGGGAAGTAGACGTTCTCGGTTTTGCGTGGCCTTTTATTATAATTATATAATTATTATTATAACTGATACGTTTGTGTGGCTCCTGCTACAAGAACAACTGCTATCTATTTTTAAATAATGAATAACTTGCTCAAAGGAGTCAGTGAACGTAGACATGGATATGTCCGTGTGTGGAGAAGAAATGGAGTAAATTCTCTGATGCTTGTTTTTCATTCTTAATCAATTTCCAAATATGTTTTTTAAGTAGCAACGGAAGTGAATGCCAAGAAGGAGGCTTCGAGTCAAATCTTGATTGCCCCAGAGCACGGCATTATGCTGCTGCTGTTCTGCCTTTAATGTTTGCACCCTGCATGAACTCTGGCACGTGCAATGACGGAGGCCTTGTTACCTGCTCCCTGAAGAACCAGGTCTTTTGGGTCGCACTTAAAAGATGAAAACATGTTGGGGTCCGGAGAGATTCCAGAACCTTCTTATCAGAGAAAATCACAAGTGAAATGGCTAATTCAAATAGCAACTAAAAAGTTACATCAACTAATTCTCTGCTAGGATCACTGGAGCAAATAACAATAAAATATGCTGTTTTCAAACTTCTCAAGAAAACGCCAGTGCAACAGTGTGGTTAGTGATGTAGCTGAATATGTCGCCCAACAACTAGGAATAGTAACCCAGAGAGCAAAGAAAAGAACACCCCTGCTGGGGCCAGGAAAAATGACCAGCCATACAGGACAGAAGGCGTGAAATCCAAGCAGTCTTTCATTTTCGTGTTTGTGTAGCTTTCCATGTCAGCCACTGCCTGGACCCAGATGATGTACAGTATCACCACCAGGGAAAACAGGATGCCTGCAGGACAGAAGAAAAGACCATTAGCCTTGCTGAAGATGTTTTCCCAAGAGCACTCACCAATCATTTGCCTAATGATGCCTCTAAAAGTATAATTCTAGCTAAATCACCTTCTTTGTGTCAGACCCTTTGTTATCTACACTAATAAAAGAGAAACATGGTAATTGGCGTACGACCGCTACCTTTCCCATTGGCTAATCCCCCTGTCACTCACAGAGTAGGGCCAAGATATGCAAATTAACTGGCAGCCAAGATGGCGGCCGGCAGCCAGGCAGCTGATGAGAACAGAGAGGCTTGCTTGCTTCAGTGATGGAGAACTCCAACGTTCCCCGCCTGCCTTGCCGGCCTCTCAGCTGCAATGCTAAGCAACTATGTTGTGAATAAAGAAGCTAAAAAAAAACCAGAAACCTGCTTTACTCAGCAAGCTTCAGCCAGCCGGACCGCAACATTGTATCAAAAACAGACAGTAAACAAAGGCCAGAAACCTGTTTTCAGCAGCCAAGCCTCAGAGCTAAAGCTGGCCCAGAATAAAAAAAAAGAAAAAACGGAGCAGTTGGGAGCTTCAGTCCCAGCCTGAAAACAGCCCTTAGCCCCTCACCAGACTGGCCAGCCACCCCAGTGGGGGTCCCCACCCTGAAGGGTGTGTGACCAGCTGCAAACAGCCATCATCCCCTCAGCCAGACTGGCCAGGCACCCCAGTGGGGACCCCACCCTGATCCAGGACACCCTTCAGGGCAAACCAGCCGGCCCCACCCATGCACCAGGCCTCTATCCTATATAGTAAAAGGGTAATATGCCTCCCAGCACCAGGATCAGCAGAGCCGTGAGGCCTCCTGGCACCGGGATCAGTATGACAGGGGGCAGCGCCAAACGCCCTGATCGCCCTGCAGCTCTGTATGTGATGGGGGCGGGGCCCCAACCCCCCATCCCCCACGGGCCCTGCTCTGTGTGTGACAGGGGGCAGGGCCCCAACCCTCGGATTGGCCCTGCTCTGTGCATGACAGGGGGTGGCGCCGCAAACTCCCCATCGCCCCTGCCTTGAGTGTGATAGGGGGCGGTGCCCCAACCCCCCCATCGGCCCTACCCTGAGCGTGACTGAGGGTGGCATCACAACCTCCCGATCTGCCCTGTTCTGTGCGTGACAGGGGGTGGCGCCCCAACTCCCCAATCAGCCCTGCTCTGAGCCCGACCAGGGGCTGCACCTAGGGATTGGGCCTGCCCTCTGCCACCTGGGACGAGGCCTAAGCCAGCAGGTCGTTATCTCCCGAGGGGTCCCAGACTGCAAGAGGGCACAGGCCAGTCTGAGGGACCCCCCCTTCCCCCGAGCGCACAAATTTTTGTGCACCAGGCCTCTAGTGTACTTTATATGCAGCTCTGTTGTGTTTAATTGTCAAAGCACTGAGATGAGGGCTATAGAGTAGGAGCCAGGACAAGGCAACAGCTGACATGGAGGTTCTGAGAACTTGCGTGTGCCAGGCACTGTTTTAGGAGCTTGTGAGCATAAGAGTCAAAGATCCCTGCCTGGTGGAATTGATTCTAACATTTACCCATCTTTACTGATGCCTGGTTTTGGATAAGCACTGTAACACATTATTACTTTCATTATGTAATAAACTGATAAAATAGGTACTATTAAGCCAGTTTTCAGCATGTGCAAACATAGTTAGTAATTTTATGCTCAGGTCTTTCTGACTAATATTGTTATATTATTATAACACAGATAACTAGTGCTAAATTTAAATATGCCCATGAAAATAAAAGCCAACATTAAGTACCAGACAAGAAAGAGATGAAAACACTAATGTAAAAGAATATATCTTCTTTAAAATTAAAATATATATGTTGAAGATTGGTTACAGCATAAAGATATACTGCCTTCTAATTTATAAGTTCCGTATAAATTCTGGAAATTAATCATATGTCCTCCCATTCAGTGGGTTGTCTTTTCATTTTGTTGATGGTTTCCTTTGCTTTGCAAAAACTTTTTAGTTCGATGCAGTCCTGTTTGTTTTCTTTTGTTTCTATTGCCTGAGGTGATATATGAGGGAAAATATTGCTATGATAAATGTCCATGATTTTACTACCTATGTTTTCTTCTAGGATATTTATGGTTTTTCGTCCAACATTAGAGTCTTTAATCCATTCCGAGTTTATTCTTTTATATGGTATAAAATAGTCTAGTTTTGTTTTTTTTTTGCACATATTTGTCCAATTTTCCCCACACCATTTATTGAATAGACTATCTACCCCATTGTATGTTTTTGCCTCCTCAGTCAAATATTAATTGATATAACATCCTGGATTTATTTCTGGTCTTTCTGTTTGGTTCTATTGATTTATATATCTGTTTCTATGCCAGTGCCATGCTGTTTTGATGACTATGGCCTTGTAGTATAGTTTGATATCAGGTAGCATGATTTCTCCTATTTTGTTCTTCTTTCTCAAGATTGCTGTGGCTATTTGGGGTCTTTTGTGTTTCCATATAAATTATTTGAATATTTGCTCTAGTTCTGTGGAATAATGCCTTTGGTATCGTGATAGTAATTGTGTTGGATCTATAGATTGCTTTGGGTGGTATGGACATTTTAATTACCTTAATTCTTCCTATCCATGAGGACAGTAGGTGCTTCCACTTATTTGTATCTTCTTCAATTTCTTTCTTAAGTATCCTATAATTTTCCAAGTATAGGTCTTTTACATCTTTTGTTATATTTATTCTTAGGCATTTTTTTAAGCAATTGTAAATGGAATTTTTTTTAGATTAACTTTTTATAATACATTATTGGTATATAAAAATGCAACTGATTTCTGGATATTTATTTTGTATCCAAGTACTTTACTGAATTCATTTATCAGTTCTACTAGAAGTGGAATTGCTGAGTCATGAGACAGTTCCATTTTTAATTTTTTGAGGAAACTCCATATTGCTTTCCACAGTGGCTGCACCAGTGTGCATTCCCACCAACTGCGCATTCCCACCAATAGTTCCCTTTTCTCCACATCCTCACCAACACTTGTTTGTTGATTTATTGATGATAGCCATTCTGACATGTTTAAGGTGATATCTTATTGTGGTTTTAATTTTCATTTATCTGATGATTAGTAATATTGAGCACATCTATTGGCTAGCTGTATGTTTTCTTTGGAAAGGTGTCTATTCTGGTCCTTTGCCCATTTTTTTTTATTGGACTGGGGACACAGATTGGTGCAGCCACTATGGACAATAGTATGCAGTTGCCTGAGAAAAATAAAAAATGGAGCTACCTTATGACCCTAGCAATTCCACTTCTGGGAATATGTCCAAAGAAACTCAAAACCCTAATTCAAAAGAATATGTGCACCCCTATGTTCATTGAAGCACTATTTACAATAACCAAGATTTGAAAACAGCCCAAGTACCCATCAGTACATGAGTGGATAAAAAAGCTGCAGTATGTTTACACAGTGGAATACTACTCAGCAGTAAAAAAGAAGGAAATCTTACTTTGCTACAGCATGGATGGACCTGGAGAGTATTAAGCTAAGTGAAAATAGCCAGTCAGAGAAGGACAAGCACTAAATGATTTCACTTACATGTGGAATTTAATGAACAAAATCAAGTAACCAACAAAGTGATGACAGATTCATGGATACAGAGAACAAACTGACAGCTATCAAAGGATGGGTTTGGGGGCTGGGTGAGAAGGGTGAAGGGATTAAGCAAAGAAAAAAAAATAAAAGAAAAACTCGTGGACACAGACAACAGTATGGTGACTGCCAGAGGGAAGAGGGGGAGTTAGAAAAGGGTAAGAGGGGATAGGGGTGATGGAAGGGGACTTGACTTGCGGTGGTGAACACACAACACAATACACAGATGATGTGTTGTAGAATTGTATACCTGAAACCTATGTAATTTTATTAACCAACTAGAGGTCCATGGTATGGATTTGTACAGTGGTGGGGTCCCTCAGCCTGGCCTGCACCCTCTCACAATCTGGCACCGCTTGGGGGACAAAGCAGTGCACGAAGCGGCAGGCTGCCGGGGAGGAGCCCGAGCCAGGGCCAGGCACCACTCTGCTCCCGCTCATCCCAGCCCCACTGCACCTGCTACCACGGCTTGGTAGTGCTGCTGCAGAGGAGCCAGCTGTGAGCCCTGCTTCTGGCTGAGCAGCGCTCCTGCTGTGGGAGCGCACTGACCACCAGGGGGCAGCTCCTGCATTGAGCATCTACCCCCTGGTGGTCAGTGTGCGTCATAGCTACTGGATGACCAGTCAAGTGGTCAACCGGTTGCTTAGGCTTTTATATATAGAGATATCACCCCTAATAAATTCAAAAAGGAAAAAAAGAAACATTGTCTTGTAGAAATGAGGGAGGGGACTGAAAATAAAAGAGTCAGTGGAAGAGGAAACCACAGGTTTGAGATCAGGAGCATATTAAGCAAAGAAAGGGATTAATGAAGAAGGGAAGGAAGGAGGGAGAGAGGGGAAAGAAGGGAGGCAAGAAGGAAAGGAAGAAAGAAAGGAAAGGAAAGGAAAGGGAAGGGAAGGGAAGGGAAGGGAAGGGAAGGGAAGGGAAGGGAAGGGAAGGAAAGGAAAGGAAAGGAAAGGAAAGGAAAGGAAAGGAAAGGAAAGGAATGGAATGAAGGAAGAAAAATCTTTAACTACTGATTGGAAGATAACATCGCATTTATCAACAATTTCAATGTAACTTTAATCCACCTGTTCAAAAATGCTGTTGGAATTATGAGAGTAGAGAAAATACTATAGCGTTGCACAGTTGATCTTAAGAAATATGACAGAAGAGCTTCGTGAACGCTAGAATTGGAGACTACCACTAAGCACATACTTTTCCACGTGACTGTGACTGTAGTAACAGGAGGGAGAGGACCACATTGGGCTACCAATTCAGGAGCATGAGCTAAGCTGATTCACTAGTGAGTGAGTGACAGGTCCCACACACAAACCACACATCCTGAGGAATTCAAATTTGTCATGAAGGAAAAGATACTTGAGGTGACTTGC